GTGGATGTAGTCTGTAACCATACCTGTGTTGGAGTGTCAGCAAGAGAGATGCTGGAATATCTGCAAAGTTGTCCCACGTGTATTATTAACATGATATAAATATTTCATTTTTAACATGTCATTGTCACCACAATACTGGTATATTGTGATGCTTGTATGTTCAATAGGTAAATTAGTTTATTGTTTATTGGCGTCCCCACTAGTTGACAGAGTAGGTGTAATAGGAACAGCTGACCGCTTTTATTTAATTTTACTTAAATTTATGTTTTTTCAATTTGGAATACACCCATTTCCCTCTGAAGACGCTCCTGTATGGAGGGGTGAGAGTGCTAGATTACAAAACTAAATCAATAAAACAATAATAAAATAAAAGTGGAAATAAAAAGAAGAAATAATAAAATAAAGAATAAATAATAAAGCAATATTAATCAAAAATGAATCCATAAAAGAAAAGGCTAATAAAAGTAGAAATATAAAGACAAATAAATAAAATTAAATTTAAAAAATTAAATTTAAAAAATTAAATTTAAAAAAAGTATGTATTTATTTTTTATTATTTTGTTTTAAAAATTATGTTTTTAATTTTTTAATATTATATTTTATTTTATATTATTGTTTTCATTTTTATTTTTATTTATTTTATATTATTTTTATAATGTCCATACTCAAATGTACTCTTCTACTGAACTTAAGCTTGTAGTGATCAGTGATGGAGGATTTATTCAGCTTTTTCACTGAAATACCAGTGGCAGTAATGCAGCTTAAAATTACATCACAGTTAAAAGTTATTTTGGTCAATACATTTATTGAAAGTAATAAAAATATTTATTATGCATGCATTTTAATTACAGATGTTGTTTAACTACTTTAATACTGTTGGGTAGTTTAACCTGGTCACATGTTTTTATTTATGTAAAACCTTAAGCTGAAAAGTAAGTAGTTGTTGAGTTGATTTACTTACTTACGTCATGCTAATAGTTATGGTAATATATGATCTTCCAGTATGAATTCATTTCATCATCAATCTGCTCCAATTAGCCGTCTGATGAAGGTATCAGTGGTAATGAGTTGACTGTGCAGCACTCAGAAATGCTAATTAAAGTCTAATTAGAGACAACGTACATCAGTCTTCTCAGCCGAAGTGAAAGTGATTCTCTGCATGCATCATATTCATTAGCGTGCCTTAGTGATGACTTGAACATGCTAGAAATGATTACCAGCCACAACAGCGGCTGTGTGTGTGAGCGTGCATGTGTGGAAGCAGGAAGGAGAAAAGAAAACGTAACAGAACAACCCGTTTTTCTACCTGGGGACAAAAGAAGGAGGTAAATCAGACGTGCTGTGAGCTGAAAACAATCGAACAAAGGCAGCATGAAGGGCTGCAGATTGAGAGTTGGGGAAAAGGGAGCTATCTTGGAGACGGATCTAGTTTCTGGGCACCTTTGCTTTAAAATTGTGACACATTAAAGTAAATGGAGTGGCTTTAAAAAAAACCCAGAGCCAGCTAGATTTGGTGAAAGCTTCATGATCAATAAGAAATTTCTGACTTTGAGCTCATCCCAGGAGCGGCGCTGGATGTAGCTCCCTCCACTGTGTCTGTGTCCTTATTGGACCCTGGTTAAGATAAGTTTCTTTTTTAACAAGTCTCCAGGCTCCTCCTTTTCTTTTGCCACAGTTTAGCTGCATTACGCTCCCTTACTCTCCTCGTCCCCACATGAACACCTCTCTGAACTGAAACGAACTGAACTGAGATGAACTCATCCTCCCCTGAACCCGTCCCTCCACACACTCGTCTCAGTGATCACAAGTGAAGGCTTTTTCTTACTCACTTAATGAAGGAGCATTTGATTTTCTACAGCAGGAGCAAGAAATTGGAATTCTGTTGATGTGATGGGCTGTTTGTGTTTGAGTTGTTTGATTCGTGTTTAGGTTGTAAATGATTTAAATCATAAAACTGAATTGATTGTTTTTGTTTTATCTTGTGGAGATAAGCCGTCCGGTCCAATTAGTTTATGAGAGGATCTTCTAATGTGACAGGTGGAGGATGGGGTTTATTCCCCTCTCTGGCGTCCAACGTATTGTCCTAAACATTTATGAATGACTGATAAATAACACCATGTAGACACCACTGTAGAGAATACTCATGCAGTGATGATTTATGAATACTGCGTCCTCATTGGTTGGAACGTCTGTGTTGTGCTTGGTGTGATCCAGTTGTAAGATGGTCTCTAGTTCATTAGTTTGAGAGCTCTGAGGTCAAATAGGAACACTTCTAAATAGAAAAGCAATTTATTAATGACTAAGTTGTGCTGCTCTCATTAGATCGGTTATAGTGTCATTTGTAAGGCTGACTGATTGATGCATGTCTTATGTCGCTATTAATGTCCATCCATCCATCCATTATCTATACACCTTAATCCTTACTAGGGTCGTAGGAAACTGGAGTCTATCCCAGCTGACTCAGGGTGAAGGCAGGTTCACCTGGACAGGTAACCAGTCTATCACAGGGCCACACTTAGAGACAGACAACCAAGCACACTCACATTCACACCTACGGACAATTTAGAATCACCAATTAACCTCAGCATGTTTCTGGACTGTGAGAGGAAGCCGGAGAACCCGGAGAGAACCCACGCTGCACGGGGAGAACATGCAAACTCCACGCAGAAAGATCCCAGGTGTCCTCACCAGGACGCAAACCGGCAACCTTCTTGCTGCGAGGCCACAGTGCTAACCACCGAGCCACCTTGCAGCCTGCTATCAATGTGTAAAACAGGATTCCTTGCGTGACTTTTTCCATCCTGTCCCTCTGTGTCCACCTGCAGCCGCCACCAGCAGTATGAGTGCAAGTGGTACATCCCCCTGGCGGATCTGACCTTCCAGACCCTGGACGATTCCGACTCCTGCCCCAGCATCCAAGTCCTGCCCGAGCACGAGATCGAGGAGATGAAGATCAAGATCTCCGTCTTAAAGAGCGAGATCCAGAAAGAAAAGGTAATCCTGCAGGGCTTTTTTTTTCTTTTTTCTGGCATGCAAAGCCAAATCCAATGTATTCCTGCAGCTTAGAATGGCTTAGCTGGTTATCGTGGGTTTAACTCTGAGATTGAACTAAAACGGCTTCAGTCTTGTGTTAAAGAAGGAGCAAGAAAATGGGTTGGTCTCGGTATCAATCAATCAATCAGACTTTATTGGTTTAGCGCTTTTCATACAAATAGAATCCACTCTGCAATAAATAAAGCAGGGGCCGAGGAAATGAGGAACACTATCATAAATAAATCTCATGAATTTGCAATGAGGAAACACCAGTGGTGGGATAAGTCAGAAACTCAAGGAGGCTGTTTTATGTTTCTATAGAATGTATGGCTGGATTGTTTTCCGTATTTAACCCTCGAAGCCTGACGGATGCACTCGGCGTCTATATTCTCTTCTCGTCGGTTGAATTGCTGTTGAAGTATTTATTGCAGTGAGGTGTGTATTAAATAAAACAGCTTGACCTTTCCAGCAATGCCAGCTGGTCGTCTGTGCAGCAAAGTGTCAGTAAACAAAAAAAAAATCATTTTCAACCTGCGTCCAGCTGTGCATGAATCTCCGCACGTCATCTATGCACAACAATCATTGCATTGATTTCAGCATTGGTGCAGTGATGTGATCACATCATAAGAGCAGAACTGGAGCTGATGGGGTTTTTTTTAGATTTTAGATTTTACATACTGCAGTCATTGTGCTTTAATAACAGCTTCTGCAAAGTAATATTTTTTTTTGTACTAATTTCTTCACATATTTTCACACTTCTGCTTCTCTGGAGTAAGCCGTGAGGTTGCTATTGTTTCACCACGTAGGCCGACCGCACATCAAAACAGACGGAGGAACTTTGTTTTTCTGATGACGCCGGCTGTTTCTCTGCGAGCCAAAGAGTAATCTGGTTTTGAAATTACAGCAAGTTACAACTGACATTACATCATGCGTTATATTGAAAGATAATTACAAAATTTGCTTTTCGTTGCACTGATTCAAAAGTCGTGAAAGAAGACTAGCTTAGGTCACTTGTGTGCAAGTAAGAGGCGGCAATCTGAGTTGTTGGAGAGGGCTCGGGTGGAGAAGGGGAGCACATATTTTTCCTAATTTGCCACCTTTGCATGTAGGCTAATGTATATGAACACTTGAGTGAACAAAACAGTATATTTCTAATAATAATAATAATAATAATAATGCAGTGTAACGCCATCATGTTTGTGACATTGCCAGATTCTAAACAACCTCCTGTACACAGTTATGGAGAGACACATCCACTGCCAGCATTTTATAGTGAGATACATGTAAAAACAGAGCAAATATTCAGTATTTTTTCCCCTTGATATAAAAATTAATATAAAGAATTTGCAAGTTTCAGCATAATGGAAGATCTCAGTAAACAGGATCCAGCTTGTATGACTGCTAGGCCTTATCATGAAAAAACTGTCATTGTAATTGAAACAGGAGCCTTTAATTATAGGAGGACTAGATAATATAAAGTTAAATCTGCTGGTGGTGACTTTGAAGCCGCCTCTTAAACATTAATTAGTACAAAAATTTAAACGAGAATTCAGTGGCATCTATGACAGACACAGTTCAGTTGTGGAACTCTCATTTATTGACATTTATAGAGACATGTGAAGCATCTACACGTGATGATGGAACATTAGTTATTTTAAAATCAGCCCCTGAAGCTTCTCGTCTCTGAGCAGGTCTTTTTTCCAGTGTTCCTCTGCATTAATCATCGGCTGGATACGTATCGCTATAGGAAACATAAACACCTTCAAGTGAATCAGAGGGGACGTTTTGACTTCCACAGAAGACTCCTCCATGTCAGTGATTCCTAAATGGAACCACTCGGCCTTCCTTTTAACTCGTCAGCATCGCTGTTTGTCTTCGGCGGGGCTGAGGTAACTTTAAATATGCCTCATAGGGGAATTCCTGCAATTGTGAGAGCAAAAAAAAAAAAAGAGAGATGCCCAAATATGTCTGATATCAACCCGAGGAAACTTGGCTTTCAATAAAAGCAAAGAACAATTAATCTGTCTGAACCAGAAGTTACCACGATTTGTATCAGTGGTGAAATTCCCGATCCACATTTACACTGGAACAAATGCGCCATTGCATCCGTCCGACCTGTTTTCATGCCCTTATCAGAGCTGAAACCTTCAGTTGTTGATTGTGGTTATAATAAAAAAATGAAAAAAAACATGTTCGAAGCTTCCAACAGTTACGAGTACGCTCAGTAATCCGCCCCCGGCTGACACACACTATAGGCTTCAGAAGCAGACAGTTCCTGTTATTCCCCTCTCGCAGCGTTAAACTCGCCCACCCGGGGCACAGTGAGTGACCACGGCTGGTATTTAGAGTCGCAGGAGGCCAGTGGAGGGAGAGACTGAGCCGACTGTAGCCGGGCAGACTCTCTGACTCACTACTTCCTGGTGAAGGCTGGGGAACATGTGTGTGTTTGTTTTCTTTCAGCGCTGACGAGAAGCCGAGGTCCTTGAAATATATATAAAGACTCTCGCAGCACGACGCTCACTTTCAGCAGCTCTTTCACTGCGTTTCCCGGAAAATATGAATGAATCTCGCGAGCCGGCACCATGCTGATTAGAACTTAATAACTGTAAACACTGACAGAGCGGTCGCAGAACCTTCAGATCTCATTTTAATGGTCATAATGAAATGGTGTTTACACTGGAGGCAAAATCAATAACAGCTTAGTCAGTGCATGACTCCTGTTGGATAACATTATATTCTGTCTTTTATTATCCAGTATCCAACAAGCCAAAGATCTGAAAGCACAAATATTTAATTGCGATCATATTTTAGCTGCTTATTAATGTGTAATTAAAATACAGCGATTAAAGGAACACACTTGTTGATGAACCTCATCAGATCTGGAAGAAACAAGTTTAATCTTTGTGTGATGGAGTTTTAAAGTGAAGTCTAGGTATCAGAGAAGTGAAGTTTTACTGCCATGAGGACATTTCAGGCGAACCACCATTCTTTAGTGTCAATATTTGCAAATTACCAGTGGACAGAACCAGATGATGTTAATTCAAGGCATCCAGTTGGTACAGCAGCTCTGTCCCAGCAGAGGGAGCCCACTTCACATGGTGGACGGTACTGAATCCTAAAACAGTTTGTGAGCAAAACATGAAAACTGCATTCACTTCTTAAAGAAACAAGCTCATGAAATCTGCTCATTCAACCCATTGGAAGTGAAGCTACCTCTGTGGGACACATCTCCTCCATGGCTGTGGTCGGTCATGCTAATATGAGCCGTATTATGGGCTGCGTTTAATTTCACTTTATGACTAATAAGTCTTGAGAAAGGTCGACTTGTTCATAAATCAGTGCAGAGATCATCCATCCATCCATTATCTATACACCTCTTAATCCTCACTAGGGTCATGGGGGGCTGGAGTCTATCCCAGCTGACTCAGGGTGAAGGCAGGTTCACCTGGACAGGTCACCAGTCTATCACAGGGCTACACTTAGAGACAGACAACCAAGCACACTCACATTCACACCTACGGACAATTTAGAATCACCAATTAACCTCAACATGTTTCTGGACTGTGGAGGAAGCCAGAGAACCCAGAGAGAACCCACGCTGCACGGGGAGAACATGGAGACTCCATGCAGAAAGATCCCGGGTGTCCTCACTAGGACGCAAACCGGCGACCTTCTTGCTGCGAGGCAATGGTGCTAACCACCGATCCACCTTGCAGCAGAGAGAAAGATCATACATGTGTGTGGGAAGTTACTTTTTATTTTTACAGTATGATGAAACTAAGGTTGAAGCCACCAGTGAACCTGTTTACTCTCAATCAGTCCAGTTTTTCCTTCATGTTTCTGCTAAATATAACAAATACAAACAAATCAAATGCCATTCATTCGTCTTCCAATGATATAAAGCACTGAAAAAGAAAAATACGCGCATGTTTCTAAAGCAGGAGCTCTCGAAGTCAAACAGCATCATCTCCTGCAAATGCACCTTGTAAATCACACCGAATCTAAAAATATATGTGTCTGTGTGTTAAGTGTTCAGCTGTGACTCAGAGGAGGAGTACAATTCACGTTCTACCTTGAGCTCTTTCTCACACTGTGAAAGCATCCGTTTCAGATGCCACACATCAACGCTTGGTGTTTTAAATCAACTGCACTAAATGCACAAAAGTGAAATTCTCTACATCCGTGTGCTTCCCTTTGTGTCCGTGCAGAAAGCGCCGAAGGGTCAGAGCCGCGTGGAGCGTCTGAGGAAGAAGATGAATGAGCAGGAATCCTGGCTGCTCCTGCACTCCCCCACCATCCCCTTCCGCATCCACAACAAGCACGGAAAGGTACATTTACTCATCCGTCCAGCTGCGTTCATGTCACTGCAGTGCTCAAGTCCCACCACTAGAGGGAGACATGCACCTTCCAACCTTTAACAATTGGATTTAGGTTCCTAAAATATAAACCTTATGAGATAATTTCACTTCATGACTATATTTTCAGCTCTTTCAGTCATGATTTTACTGCAGACGTCTTTCATGTGTTTGCTCACGTTGTTGTTTTCTGTGTTCAGAGCTACCTGTTCCTCCTGTCCTCTGACTATGAGAGGTCAGAGTGGAGGGAAAGCATCCAGAAACTCCAAAAGAAAGGTAAAGCTGGCTTTGAAGTATCATTTTATTGGCTGCTTGTTTCCTTGGCAAACATTTAAAACTGTTTTTTTGTACACGCTGCACCACAGAGAAGTAAAGGTTTGACCGTATCTCTGTTCTTGCCAGACCTCCAGGCGTGCGTATTAAGCTCTGTAGAGCTCCAGGTCCTGACCAGCTCCTGTTTCAAACTCCGAACTGTCCACAACATTCCCGTCACCAGTAACAAAGACGGTAAGGAACCCATCTCCTGTCTATTCTTGTGTTCAGACACTTTGTATTGCTGCCCTTTTGTCTGCAATCATCACCAAACAGTCCCCTGCTGCTCCGTCAGCTCCGCTCTGCTTTGAATTTAAATTCACACAAAAGTGCCTGTTACACTCTCAGCACAAAAAAAAAAAACAGCCACATAATGAGAGAGGGGGGCCTTGCAGGAGATGAATCTAGGTTACAATATGTTTCTCATCTAGCTCGTAGCAGTCAGTGCCACTCAGTGTGTCGGCAGCGAGCCCTCAGCTCCTATATGTTTGTTTTTGCTCCAGATCTCCACGTTGCAACCGCTCTCACAGGCCGGGGGTGACATTAAAGCCATCTGGCCGAACTGCTCTGATCTCCTCAAATGGCACGAGGGTCTCACATTGTACACACAATTCGCATGCGTAACCGCAGAGCTGACAAGAGAGGCTTCAGTGCACTGAAAGGAACATTGTCTTCATCTTTTTTTTTTCACCTCGGACAGAAGAGAGATCCACGTTTGCCTCTCGTTTAATCGAATCTTTATGCGAGCCATTATTTTGACATCCAATACCTTTAAAGTGGCAACCGCAGGGATTTTCGGTTTTTATTTCAAGTTGCGTTCTGGTAAACTTCACGGAGCAGCAAGAAGTCACTGCTGTCGTGTTTTCTTTGGTCTGAGCGTCCCCGACGTCATCTGACAGTCAAACAGTGAAACCACCGCTCTGAAGCTCTTTAGTTTGTTTTTTTTCCCCTCTGTATCCATACTGAGCCAAGGTTTCTATCTCTGCTCCTTTTTATTATCTAGTTCTTGCTCTAGTTATTCAAAAGTCTTTATATCAGTTCACACTTTGATTATGTTATTCAGATAGTAAGTGTCAAAGATAAAATAAAACATATCTTGGAGTTTACGTACACCAGCTTTCCACTGGATAAAGTGGCTTTATCTGGTTGTATGACTAGATTATTACAGCTGGTCACTCCCACCTGTTACATCAGAGAAACGTTTTACAAACTCTGCAATCAGAAGGCAAAGTGTGTTACAGATCTTTCCTCCAAAACATAAATGGGTCCATGTTCATTTTTTATTGCCTTAATTGTTGTCTTTGTTCAGCTCCTTTTAAACTGTCCTCACACCACATGCATGGTATCCAAGCTATTCTTATGCTGATATCATGGTTTTTACTGGCTTTAAATGGGCTTTTGGATGTTCACAGCACACAGCAGTCAGCGTGATCGGTCCACATAGGGAGAAGTTAATGAGTCTGTGTTATGATAATTGACAAGTCTATGCATTTCCTGTTATATCTGAGCATTGGCTAAACGAAAGTGTATTTCATCCTTGGGTAAATGAAACAACAATTAACAACGCTGGTTTTAAAAAAAAAATGAATTGCTATTTTTATTCTTGATTATATTAGTTTTGGCGCTGGTGATCTTCCTTTGGGGTTTTCTAAAACCTCTTTGGGGAGCGCCAAAAATTCCTTTATGCAGGAAAGCCCTGGATTCACCAGAGGATAAAGCTGCCAGAAACACAAGAGAAATGACACAGACGCCTTTAACTTTAACTTTAACTTTAAATTTGGAGCAGTTAAAGGCTGTGGAAAAAATATTGCTTTACTCTTTATACACTAATACAACAGAAGAAATGTACAAAATGAAACAATAATAGTCAGTTTACATGTAAAGTGACTTTATCCTCGACACTACTTGTCACTTTAGGGTGATGTTAGCCTGTAAATCCCTAAAAATATTCTAAGCTTTCATTACATTTCTCTCAAAATATAAAGTGTTGGTTGGAGATGAGATGTGCTGGTGTTGAAGGAAAATGCATCAGTGAGGAATTTCACATTTCCAGTCGTTTCTCACAATGCTTTCTTACAATCACGACGAGCATCACAAGTACAAATAGAAAACGCTCCTCCAACTGAAAATGAGGTGTGAATGCTGAAAGCTACATGTTTTTTTTTTGTTTAGTTTTCTACAAAAGCAGGAATTTTAACTGGAATAGTTGAAACGTCGGCGTCACTCTGCTGAAATCAAGGTGAAATGTGATAGTAGGTTAGTGTGAGAAACACAAAGGAGCATTCCTAAAATAAAATCACTGATCAGCTGATGCAATTTTATCATCACTTGTGTGTGTCAGTCTGATCTGTTCCAATCTGTAAGAAATATTGGAATATGCTTCATTTACACCGATGACAGCACTTTGTGTGAGCACCATCGTAGTGTGAAGGCGTCACATTTTCTCTGCTTGTCACCACCTGACACAGAAGCAAAGTTATGCTACTCTAAATAAAGCCTCTTTCAGACGTGCACGCCTTTCCGTTAAAGAAAACCGATGGCATCCGATCATGTCGGCTTCATGTCTGAATGAGGACTCCTGACAGCCGTCTCGGCTTGGACCGAGTAACGTTTTTTTTCAACGCAGCTCAAGTCTGAATGATGTATGAACAAACAGGTATACACAAGCGACTTAAACTATGTGAAGCCATTTGAGGAAGACATTTTCCAGATTCTGGCACCAGTATCGGTCCAGAAACATCACAGAGTGCTCCCAGGACACAGTTTGAGTTCCAAAATCACAAAACACTTTTCTCATTTAAACTCTACTCCAAATGGCTTTTGTGTCCATAAAAATAAAACTCTGCTGTGATGAAGGCAGAGACTGTAGCAGGTAGGATAATAACTAATCCAGGTTTTGACAAAATGTAAACAGGAGGCTAAGTTCAGTTAGCTGCTCCCAGCTGTTTGTAGGAATCTTTCCTCTCAGTGTCTTAAATATCTATAGCATCAAACAGCAGCAGGATCAGTATGAGTGTCTCCAAAGAGAGAAACAGCAGTGATAGCTTAAGATAAAATAAGATTATTGATCCCTCACCGGGGAAGTTTACATGTTACATCAGCTGGATACAGATGAGGCATGAAGCAGGACAAGAATCACAAAAAGACTAAAACATAAAGATATATTAATAAAGGTTATATATGGATATGTACAGATCTGATGGATTTACATGTGTACAAGTATGGCATGGAGGATAATGCACCAACAAGTGCTAAAGGACAGGACCCAGCAGTCGACCTGCATCTTTTTTTAAAGTTATTTTTTTGGCCTTTGTGCCTTTATTCGATAGTGATAGTGAGAGAGAGACAGGAAAGTGGGGGAGAAGAGTGGGGGAAGGACGTGTGGGAAAGGGTCATGAGCGGGATTCGAACCCATGACCTCCACATCGGGACTGTAGCCCTGTACATGGGACGCCAGCTCAACCAGGTGAGCTATAGTGGCGCCCCTCGACCTGCATCTTAAGGACACTCATTCGAAGACAGCTATGTACAGATTTTGGCCAGGGAGGACAGATGGTTTGCGAGAGGAGTGAAAGAAGCCATCTAACTGGAAAGACCATCCCTCAGCAGAGGTGGAGGTCTGAGGCATCACCTGTTTACAACTCAGTCCTAAGATCTCTCCCCAGGAAGATGAAACCACATCCACACCTAGCCACAAAAGACCCTAACGAACCCCATTGTGGCAGGGGGAGCACTAACGACTCACATAACGAGGGGGAGGAGCAACAAACTCAGGTGTTAATGACTCCTTAAAGATATAAGTAACTGGAACTCCCAACTAGTCAGTCAGAAGTGATGAAGCCTCTTGGATGAGAGGTGGAACGTCTCCAAGGAACTCAAGCGAGTCCAGTTGATTAATCTACGGTACTAACGAGTGCTAAGTTATTCCTGACGTGGAGACAGGATCGATCAGGAACCAACAGCAAGTCACACCGTGTACTTTCCTCCACATACAGAGTCGCAGCTTATCAGCAGTTCTCACATTGAGTCCTGAGCTCCGTCACTGCTGCTGGGATGTTCTTATTTTAGTGTTTGTCTGATCTGTCGATGCTAAAGTGAAGCTAAAAATAGGTTTCTTTCATGTCAAGTGTTTTGTATGAGTGGATGTTTCTCAAAATGTGACCTAAATATTACGGCCAAAATAGGGTCAAGCAGCAAAAGGAAAAACGTTTAAAAAGTCTGTAACTAGGCGATCTGGACACATTAACAGAGGGAACCCCTAAATCAACGAGGCTGTTATTTGGACAGCTGGATAAGCTTGCTGTTAGTTTCCTGTTTGTTGGTGCATTATTATGTTATTACATATGAGCTGATGTAGTGTCCGCGTCTGAAAAGGCCTCAAAACACATTTTTACTCTGACATTGTTTTAATAATAGAATTGATTAGATTTGCTTCATCCTTTCACCATAAATATCGTGTCCGCCGTGTTTCTCTAAACAAACCTTCTCACCGCAGCTCGTTATTAAATTAGTTTGGTTAATCATGTTTCATGCTTTGGCAGACTCTTATCTGACTGTAACTTTCTGTTATGTAAGAGCTCAGTCGTTTGTCTTCACACTGTTGATAGTCTTGTTTTCCCTGGGCACTAAAACGGAGCTCAGACCCTCCGTCTTGTCTGAGACTTTTGACCCCCTCCTCATTATAAAGCAAACATAAACACACGCACACACACTCACACACACACCTCGGTGACATGTAATGTAAGGAGTGCAGTGGGGGTTTAAATGGAGACCAGCTGATGGAGGAATGTTTCTCAAACCTGAGAGGATGGATGATATGACAAAGACCCTCACACACTCTCGCTGTAACTGCTCTGACTGAGTGATAATCAGCTCTCCCGTGCTAGTTTTCTACGATTTATTGTTGAAGCGAGGTTATAATTGAAGCACACAGATCTCAGTTTCACTCTCAAAAGCGGCACGCAGGCCTCCTCGAAGGTGAACCTTTGAACCGTCTCTCTGTGAAACTCCCCCTGTTACTTACATAAAACACACACAGTTCACCCCCCGGGGGCCTGCAGTGAAGCTCGCAACAGTCCCGCTGCCCTCCACTGTCGTTTATTTAGCAGGAAACAGCCAGGCTTCGCAGGCCCAAACCAAAGCAAGACCGTATCTTCATGCGTCTGTCGGAGGGCCGGGGGGTCTAGCAGGCCACCCAAAACAGTCCACCTACGAGCCTCAACTCGCGGCCAGCTGGGTTGTTGTGGCTAAAGACTGTGCTCATGGATGTGTGGTCTGATAGCAATCTGGTAATGTTCCCTCAGATCCTTAAATAATTGTTTCCTCAGCCATTTTGCTGATGCATATTATTTCCGTTTAGAAGTTTAATAAGTTTCTTCTCAAACGGTTGTAACTGAGTGTTGCAAGAAGTAAGTAACAGTGATGCTTGTCTAGTTTGGACCACCCGAGGAATGGAAATTATTGATGCAAAAATTAGGCTACACAATGATTAAAAGCAACAAACAATAACCGTCCTGCCAGATTATTTCCACATTCTTATTCTAAGTCTTTCTTTACTTGTTTATAAAAGTTAAACTGAAACTTCTTCACAAACGTAAATGAAATTGTTCATTTTCGCTTGATGAACACCACCTGCCTGTACGTAGGTGTTGTCTATTGTAAGATGAGGTCATTATCATAATGTGAGCCTCAAAACTTCCATATAAGGCTCCCTGCTGTACTCCAAGTCTGTGCAAGATTCATTCACGAAAGTTTTACCAAAGAGCAAATCAGAAAACTTTCACAGTCCTGCGAGTCCTGCAACGGAAACAGTCAGTGGTGGGATTAGAGAGGCAGAAACAGGGGTCAACAGATGGTTTTTTTCAGAGCTGAGACAACACAAAACTTTGTTGAAATGCCTTTAATTACTGAAGTTTTACATATTTTGAATTACAAGAGAGCTAAAAATGTGTTGATAGGCTAGTAGTCTTGAAGTGTAACCAATCTGCTGTGGGCGAGACGTGACTAGAGATGGATAAAGGCGGCCACATCAGAGCCAAAGCATTTTGAAATTCATTTTTTTTATCTCTTAAAAGAAATGTGGACACCAATAATCGGTTGAATATATGGCTACTTGTTCTGCTTCAAGTGTGGAAAAGATTCATTTACATGCATTTTACCAAAAGAATGAGAAAGACAGCTGTTTAAGGACACATGTTAGTGGCATTGTGGCAAAACAGTCCATGTCTGACATGAGAGGTGGTCGTGTAGTAGATAAGATAATGTTACACTGTGAGGTCCAGCTGCACACCAAAGTATCTGAGTCAGCTGTCAGAGTAAAACCATTTTCCAGCAAGATACTGATCTGTATATGTTGCTGTGCCAAGATATTCCAAAAAAATAATCTAAATTCTTTTTTTACTACTCAGTCTTAAAATGGCAGCGTAAAGCAAAAAAATCTGGGGTTCACGGGAGCCTCAGCAGCAGAAATGTGGGTGAAATTAAATCTGCAGGTACAGTAGTGCTCAGCGGGACGAGTTCCATTTTCTCTCTCTGCAGGGGTTCCTCTTATCTGCACAATGCTGATTTGTCGGTACAGACTGGATGCCGGAGTCACGTGCTCCATAATTTGCAATGACTGATTTACGTGCACCATTCTGACCCTTAAATGCAGAACAGTGTCTCCGTCTTTATTTACTCGGTAGTTGTCTAACTGCTCCGTGTGCCTCTTTTCCAGATGAGGAGACTCCTGGCCTGTACGGCTTTCTGCATGTGATCGTCCACTCTGCCAAAGGATTCAAGGAGTCAGCCAGTAAGTCGGCCAGATGCAGCATTTTTTTTTTTCTCAACCGCACTTGTACACACACTCTGCCTCAGCATCCCCTCGCACATAGCTGCTGTGCACAAACGTGTCTGCCAACAAAACACATGATCTGGTCAATCACTGCAGTCCGCACATGCAGTTTCCATCAAGACTGAAAGACGGATGGATGGAGGAAAAGAGCAAGACAGACGGTAGGAGGGAGAGAATGAGAGTTTCTTAGAGAATCACCGGAAACCACAGTGGGATTTCTGTGGTTGTTTTCATTTAGCAGACTTCGCAAGTGACACCAAAACACTCAAAAGCACACATCAAGGAAGAATGTCTAAAATCATACACGGCAGCTTTTGAAACCGAGCTGCTTGAATCATGCTCTATCCACACATTCTGATATTGCCTACTTTACACAAATGCTCCTTTGTGTCGCGTCGTCTGAAGACAAAACTCTGTGTGTGTGTGTGTGTTGTCGGCCGAGTGTGATGCTGGCAAAAAAAAAACCCCACAAAGGCTGTTTCAGACATGTCAGTAGTGGACAGCTGGTGCCGCGGTACACTTTGTGCCCTCTGTTGCACAAGCACCAGTTCAAATATCAAATATCAGGAGAAGAGACAGAGAGGCAGAGATGTGATTTCCTCAGTTACCATGACAGCCCTCGGTGCTGCATGTGAAGGCTGGCCCACTAGAATTTCTCGGTTAATGGATTGGAAAGCTCTCTCCTCTGAAAGCCTGTTTGATCCTCGATGGAGCACAGAGAGCTGAGGGGGTTTAAAAATGAAGAAAAAGCATGTTTTATGTGTGTGTGTGTGTGTGTGTGTGTGGAGGGAAGTTGGGTAGTTTCACTGATACGGTTTGATGTGTCAGTCAGGGTGGGGCATGAATCATGGAGGTAGTGCAGGTTAGAGGATGTGTTGGTGTTGTTAGGGATCACTCTGGTCTTCATCACGATGAAGACCTTCATGATGAGGATAGTTTACAGTGATGCCATCAGAGGAGTGTAGCTCTAAAGATGTATGATACCAGAAACCTAGTAGTATAGGCAGAATGTACACATGGTTAAAATCATTTCCAACCACGATAAACAAACTCTTCTCTTCACTGAATCCAGCAGAAGAGATGAGTGATGCTGGTTTTTTTGGAGCAGAGTGACAAGGCAGAGGCGATCAAAGAGTGTTTAAAACATGCTTCATGTGACATCTGCTGGAGATGTGAGAAACAAGCTGCTGGTCTTGTACACAAAAACTCTACACCTGTGTTTCAACTGCAGTTGAGTAAGTCTTTGGCTTTATGTGTTCTGAGCCTGTAAACTGATAACATCATTGTGAATGAACACAAGAAGTTAGGAGTCAGTCGAGCTGCAGCTACAGGATGTACGATAATATTGCTTTGAGGACTGGATGGAGCTGATGATAAAAATGGCTCCATTTCAAGAGCTAGAACAAGTCTCGGGCTCCTTTCTAGCCTTAAAAGTCGGAACATCTGACTAAACTTGTACTGGCACCTGGTGTAAGGACTTTGTAGATTCAGATGTAACTGATATAGTCTGGGCACTTTCTTCTTTTCATTCTCTTTTTTTTTTTTTGTCTTCAGTGGAATCTGCATAAAGGGCTGTGTGCAGCCTAATTTACCATCTGTTATACTTTGCTTCATCTGATATAATGTCTATATTTTTAGTTTGAAAGAGGGAACAGTGAACCTTTCCAATGTCACGGGATATTTTATTGTAACCGCTAAAATATCCGTTTAAAAAAGTAGGATAGATGGATAAAATTGTGGACTACTGTCTACGTATGTGAGTCAGTGTAAAATCAGCAGCTGTATGCACCTGTTTATTTACCAAAGCATGTTATCTTTTTACCAACATATACTCAGTATGATTACATTCTAAAAAGTTGCTCGGTTGTTTCGTATTTCATGATTACAGCAGCGCCTTAAAGCCAACTTGCATCATCAGGTTTAAGGTTCAAGGTCTTTTATTGGTCACAAACACAGTTATACACGATATAACGCGCAGTGAAATACGTTAAAATAAAAAGTTGAATAACAATTTTAAAAAGTTGTAACGGTGCTGGAGCAGGTACGGTTTAGGGTAGTGATGATTTTATTTTATTTTTTTAAAGAGCCCATGTTCAGTTTTTTCTTTGCTTCGGTGTGTTATGTATCTCTTTTTTTGTACTTGTTAAAGGCCTGCAAATTTAAATACCCCAAAGCCTACGCCAAAGGAAGTCACTCTCTTCTTACCTGCCTGAAACACCTTGTCCAAGTCCAGGCTTTTCATCCGTTACTGATCTACATCACCTTGTAACACATTTGGTAACACATTTATGTAACACCTGCGTAGCGGCTAGTTTGGCCCCTAAACAAAGAATGAGCAGATTCCTCGCAGTCCGCCATTATTTCCTCATTAAAGCTGTATTTACTCGAGCTACGTCGTCCTGCCTGTTCCCGTAGATGTGGTGTTGTGGTGCGTAATCAACATAGCTTCAGGCCAGGTGACCAATCAGAGCAGACTGGGTCGTCTTCTGGGGGCGCTTTAAAGAGGCAGAAGCTAAATTGGAGCAAATGGGGAGAAAAGTAAAGTGTTTTTGAACATTAAAACATGAAAAAAATCTTTTAGTAGATGCAACACATATGATTATAAACCTTTACAAGGACATAATGTGCTCTTTAAGTTGACTCACGTGCATATATCAAGCTCTAACACTATATTTTAAAAGATATTCTCTCCTTTTTATAAACCTTTTGCACTGAAATACCAGGTTTCTGAAAGTTAAAGGTCTTTGACAATTTGTGCCAACAGTCTGTTGTTTTACCCCACACAAAAATACATTGGAGATTGTTGTATTTTCTAATATCCTTCTAATGGAACCGGTCCAGCACTGGCAGAGTTTCTCACATCTTTAAAACAGCCCATTGCTCATGGAGTTGATGGGAGGCATTGTGTTCCAAATACTGTGTCTTCTGCCTACATAATTCTCTCCAATACCACAAATGACTAAAATTACACAGCTTCCTCCAGATGTAGCTTAATGACGGGATCCAATTTGCCTTTTTATGTCCACGTTTTGCGGCGACGTTAGCGCTGTGTGTCGGCGGTTCGACGCGGTTTCGGTTGCATTGTTAACGTCTCCTTCGGTGTCTCTGCTTAAGACGTTTCTCCCTGGAAGCCACGAGTTCTGTGCACAGATTTTGAGGCAATTTGCTGCTCTTTTGCATAATGGTGTGTGCATGGTTTCTGTTGACGCATGTGGTAATTATTATCATATCAGAATGGAAATGTGGATGACTAGAAATAACATTCGGTGGCTCTTTTTTTTGTTCCGTTTTTTTGATTGAAAAATCACATAAGTATGTAATAGAAGATCCTATTGGAGCTTTTATTTATGCCACAACAATCTCCCCCCAGTGGGAATGGGCTTTAAAATTCAGCCCAGGGCAAAGTTAGTCAAACTGGGTCACAGAGGAAGGAACTGGGAGGAAAAAAAAATGTGGAAACCTAGTAGAGAAACATGTCATGTCACTTTATCTTTAGTTTATTTGTGTGTGTGTGTGTTAGCAGTTGTTGCCCCTGTATCAGTGCAACAAATAAAATACCCTGTGCTTTAAATTTGTGCTACATCGGAACAGTGTGTACAGATCCAGATGTACAGATATAGTTTAAACTAAGAGAAACATGCATGAAACATCATCCAAGGAGACTAAACGAGCGCTACAGCACAAAAGAAAGCTAAATAACAGAACTTTTTATCCTTCAGAATCAACGTTTGTGCCACTTGCCACTGTTCCCGTAAAAATTAAGTGTTCACATGACTCTGGTGAGTTTTATGTGTAATCCAATCCAGCCATGGCTGCGTGTGTTCATTCATTGTTTGCCAAGCTTTTATTAGTTTTCGCCTCATGGATTCTGTGAAAACAGTTAGATTATGCCTGTTTTCAGCTTATTCGATTTGTTGTCTGAGAAGAATATTTTCCCCTGGAGCCTTCTGGCCAATTGTACGGACAAACAGTCATTCTGGTGACTGGGACTCGTAACTGTAGAGACGCTGATTAGTTTAACTGATTATCACTTGTCTTCTAATTCCGTGAACCCGCAGTTTGACCCAGCGTTCGGCACAGCCCCGGGCAAAGATTAGCCTCCTGTATAAGAACACACGCACGCCACAAGGGCTGCAGTCCTCAGTTGATCGAGATGGAAAAGGATGGTATCCATTAACCCCTGGATTTAGGGGTCAGAGACCCCATGCTGACTAATTTATCCCCCTTATACTCTGAGCCTTATGGTGACCTGCCAGGAAAATGAAAACTCATGGAGTTCCAGGCCTCTTTTAGTCTGTCCTACTTCTCAGAGCCCTCCTGGATCCACTGCGAGGATACAAAAAGACCTCTCTAAATATCCTCTCTCTCTCTGGCCTTGTTTGAATTTTAGGTCTGGGCACATAAACCCATTTCAGATGGAGAGGAAATCAACTTCCAGAAAAAAGTGGGAGCTGCCCAGGACTATGAATACACTTTCCTCTTCTCCACAGCAAGATGAAAACGAAAGAATTCAATCACATTAGTGTCTCAAACGAAGGCTTTTTTAAAAATAAACTGAAGACAACCAACAGGTTTAGGCAGTCATTAAAAGGTACCAAAGGGTATTTGTTAGCATGAACTAGCTGGATTGCTTTTTAATGCTCAAAATGTCATCCTAACTCGTCACTGAAGTGGACTCTGACAGGTAGTTTGTGTGTTTTTTGGATGGCGGATGTCAAACCAGAGGTGAAGGCCGTGAGCTGTTATGCTTCCGTACGTAGCGGAAGCGAACGATAGCTGCTTCATTTCATAAATATCCCCCAGATGGTCACAGTGAATTCCCCTCCGCTGAACTTCCCTCATTCCACCACCACTAATCTCTTCCTCATTGAGAGTAATTATGCCAGAACCTTTCAGGACGCTGAGAAAACAAACAAAGAAGGAATGAAGCCAGATGGAAGGATACTGTATAGTTCTGTTAGTTGTATGGATACATGTGTAAACATGAACTCCAGCCGGTCGGAGCTGGTCCAGGTGCTGTGCTTGGTATGTCTCCATAAGCATGCTCAGGTCCGGCTGTTGTTTCTGATGATAATGTTGCTTGTCATTGTGCAGGAGTGTATTTATATGTAAGTGAGATTCAACCCCCATGCCTTCACTCCCTCATGCAATCTTGGTGACTGTCCTGGTGAAAGGTCGAACCATACACCCATCCATCATGCTGTCAGGTGGAGGTTAACCCGAGGGACCCTGTCCATTCTGCAGGACACACTATAGACACTTTACAGACAGCCGGTAGCCAAGTCTGCAGGAACAGCTTCAGCAGCATTTAAAGAAACACATTAACACACTTAATTGCTCCGAGTGTGAGCTGGTCCCAGGGGGAGCGGCGGCTGCAGTATGAGGATGTTAGGAGTGGAGGAGGGCTGGTTGTGTGCACAGCCAGGAGATTGATGTCTGTCAGCTGACAGCTACTACATATTGACAAATTGAAGGGCTGTTTCCCTGTGATGGAATTTAACCTCTTTTTTTATGTTTTAAGTGCACATTTGTTATAAATCTGCTAAAAAAAAAAATCAAATGCACACTGACAAATCACTCACTTCCCCTGAGAAATTAGCATTTAAGATGAATTACACTTTGGCTAGAAAATGGATTCAGTTGTGGATGACGCACTGTTTAGATTTATATTTTACGTAGATGACCGGCGCTGAGCATGATGGTGACATGATGCATGTACTGAAAGATGACGTCAGGTAAATGTTGCATTCAACACTGAAATGAGGAGCGGTTACTGTTTACAGTTTCTCATAAATGAAGGTTTTCTAGGTTTTATTTTAGTCTTCTATGACAGTAATTGAATATTTTTAAATCTAGATGGAAAAAACACAGAACCATGAACCCTGTTAGAAGTATTTTATGCTATTTGTTGACCCAACTGCAACTGTCACAATAGGAGATTTTCAGTTTAGTCGACCCATATGTGTTTTTTTTTTTCATGGCCAATGCATCCATCCATCCATTGTCTATACACCGCTTAGTCCTCTCTAGGGTCATGGGGGGCTGGAGTCTATCCCAGCTGACTCAGGGCGAAGGCAGGGGACACCCTGGACAGGTCATGGCCAAAACTGATTATTAGTAATCAAGGACATCAACAACTGATATTTGAAGTCAATATATTTGCAGTAAAAATGAAAATCTTCATGTCAAGTTTCTAATACTACAAACTCCAACACAAAACCTCACAGAAATTTAATGCAAGACAAGTTTTCAACATTTTAGTCTTCAGTGTTGTTTGGCTTTTACCTGTGACATGAGACAATATAATCGCAATATCTATAGAAGTTTTATTTTTATGCTTCTCTTCAGGTGCAAGTTTATTGTTTCACTCTCCTCTGTCACGCTGTCAGCCTGATGTGCAGCAGTGGTATCCACACACAGTGACAGCAGCTAGATAGCTTATTACTGTGTTGTCGTCTTCACGTTTCTTTTATTTCATGGCAGTTAGCAACCAGCGTTGAGGTCCAACACACTACCTAATATTTATAAACGTCACAGTTATCAGTACTGATACATCGTGACACCCCTACACCCAACTAATAATCAAATAATCAAGACAATTTACTCAATATTATTAATAGCTATTAGTGGCGGGCAGACATGAGTTTTACATAATACCACAACACAACTTTAGTGGACAGAGACTCATTAACAAGAAATATTGTTGGCCTGTAATTATGTTGACCTTTTCTGAAAAGAAATTATCTCCATCCAGTGACATCATTACCCATTAAAATCTGTTTAAATGGCTGTAAAACCTATTTAATGACCATGTTTTACAACAAGATGAGAAAAATGGGCTCAACGGAGGATTGTAATTTGACTCTAGCACGTTTTAAAATATGTTTTCGAACCACAATACAGCTTTCAATATGTCTAAATGTTTATTCAGTGATTTTCTTCATTCATACCATCCATGATTAGTTCCTCGTCTGATGGACCTGTCTATCTCTTGTGTCTCCTTTCAGATCTATACTGCACCCTTGAAGTGGACTCGTACGGATACTTTGTGAGCAAGGCCAAGACTCGAGTCTTCAGAGACACCGCAGAGCCTCAGTGGAACGAAGTCAGTCACCAGCACGTCTCCTTTTACGTCGCTCAGTCTGCGTCTCTGTGAAAGGGCAACTATTTATCCTCTTTCTCTACATCTGTGTTGTCGTGCAGGAGTTTGAGATCGAGCTGGAGGGCTCCCAGTACCTGCGGATCCTGTGCTACGAGAAGTGCTACGACAAAAGCATGCTCAATAAAGACGACAACGAGATTGTTGACAAGATCATGGGCAAAGGGCAGGTCCAGGTAAGAGGACGGGCGTCACAGAAACAAACCATGCACAAAGAGAGATGTCTCCGTCCCTCTGGGGAAATTTTCCAACATGTGACTCACTTTAATTAGCTGTCTAGCCTCTGCGCACAATGATGCGGTTTTGTCGCGGTGGCCTCTAATGACGCTGGTTGGATTAATAGTCTGAAGCAGAGTTTATTTAAGGGGGGTTTCCCCTGTCATGTTGTGAGAAATGTTTCTATAAAAATCCCTTTCAGGGTCTTGTTAACTCGATACTGCCTACACAGTGGAATCTGCGGTTTCTTGCTATTGAGGAAAAATGCTGTCCTCCGCTCAGCATCATTGTTTAGCTTTTACACAACAGCCTTACAGAGGTGTCATATTTCCATCTTTCCAGAACTTCTTTGGAAAATCTGTTGGGTCAAGTGAAGCCTGACTCCTGTCAGTTTCCTGCAATTCAGTCAAATTGCTGCTGTTGCAGTTTCCTCCTCTGCTGCCCTGTAATCGATACAGCTTCGCTTTATGAATTTGGGTCAGCTCTGAGGGTTCTTAATGCTCTTATCATCAATTATTGTCCTCATGTTTTTCTGAAGTGGCACTTTCTTTGCCAGAGGTGAGCTTGTAGCAGGTTATTTCTGAGCCTGCTTCTGACAGACCAGAAGATATAATAAAACATTTCCGAGGCTTGTTTGTGGCTGCTGCACATAGCGAAACATTTGTAGTCGTAGGTAAAAGTAGTATTACTGACAAGCTGCACTGGGAATACAAATCTCCTGTCTCAGATATGAAGAAAGTGGGGCAAAGATGAATCAGGCCTATATTGTTGCATTTTAAAGGAAAAGATGCATCTCGGAAATATCTTATGTTCTTTAGTTGGTATGTTGTTTCTCCTCAGACGTGCTGTATGTCTTTTAAACAGGCATCGAATAGAAAAAAAACAACACCCACGACATGTTTGTTGAAGCGTTTCCTGTTTGTCACCACCACTTTCCATACTTTTCTCATTCAGTTTGATGATTTATGTCCTTGAGTGTTGCCTTTGATTCCCTCTGAAATGCAAAAAGGAATGACGGTGAACCACTCATGCATCTTAATATATCTTTTAGTGTCTTATTATCAGCTCGGGTATTTCTAGAGCTGCGCAATACATTGTTTCGCTGATGTGCAAGAGTCGTACCGCAGTAAGTGCGATGTGTCTATCTGGTAGAACATAATTTAGGTGCTCTTAGCTACACTGAGTGTTTTTTTTTTTTTTTTAACTTTATGCAAAACACCGAGTTTGTTGGCATGCGAGCCTGGCATGAGCACAGCAAAACGAGCAGGAGAAACACTGCAAAGGAAGATTTGGTTGCAAAAACAAACTGTAAGCTGTATGGAAATGTTTCAGCTGCAGAAAGGATGACCGAAAACAGGTACTCTGCCACACAAGGCAACACAGCTAATTTGTTTGACCGTTTAAATCAGCAGCAGATCTGAATGCCATCCAAAGCAAAAGCTTGTTTTGGAAGCCTTTGCCAGTGTTGCCCGATATGAGAGGGGCTTCAAACGTTGTCAGCTTCTCCTTCGCCTTAGTTGTGAGCCCAAGCTCGAAATAATGAATTAAAATGTCCGTGATAACAGTTGCTTATCTTTGGCCAGCTATAAGTAGTTAAACTGTAAAAGCTTAAACCTATATGGTTTATTAACCTTCCTTTGTGATTGAATTAAGTGGGTCAGCTGTTTTCTCAGCTGAATAAAAACCCTTGAGAGGATGGAAAAGTAAATATGTACATGCATGTGTGTACACATTTGTTTTTATGTGTGTGTGTGTGTAGTAAGATGATTTCTAGTCAGATAGTTATGTACAGAGTTCAGCAGAAAATAGACTTTATTACATGATTAACCTCTTTCTTTCTTTCTTTCTTTTTTTTAAATAGAACCATGCAGACAAATAACATACCAATAAATTCCCTTTTCAGACTTAAAAGGATCCGTCTCATCTTGTCACATAAGTCACAGCAGTTCATCAATGATTCAACGTTGTATCGTATATGACAGTAAAACCCAGCCTCTCTGGTGTGGCTGCCAGTCACAGAGACAAATGCTGTTGCTGCTGCTGGGAACATCCACTTCCAGCCAACAGCAGTCCAAAAAAAACACAAATAAATACGCCACATGTTTGTTGGCTCGCTGTGAGAGGAGGGGGGGGGATAGAAACGGAGAATGGCATGTTCTATCCCAGACTCTCAGAGGGTGGGAATACAGCGACTGTGTTCTGTTGAGGATGTTGCCGGGGTTGTGGATGTGTATTTGGTAGAGAAGGAAGTTTGATTGAGAAACTGTCAGTCTGTTTATTATTACTAAAATCCTGAGTGACTGCACAGCGTTGATGAGTGGTTCAGACAATGTTTCATCACATTAAGCAGATATCTCACATCAGCCGAGCAACCTAAGCATTGTACAGAGCGCATACCTAAAGAGACTTCCACTTGGACCTGAGCTGTTTGCTTTCCTGGTGAAGCTGAGTTTAGAAGGAGCCTTCAGTGTTTTGCTTTCCTCTCTGGAGACCCTCTGATTTATTTAACAAGCTTGTGGAATACTGACTGACCTTAAATGGGCATATTGGGCTGGAGGTTTTCTTTTTTTTTTACCCACTACTGCTACTTCACTTTGTTACTGATGAGAAAGTCGATCACCTCTGTCATCAGAAGATGTTCTGATAAGGCCAGAGGTATCACTTTGATAGTTACAGAGGAGACTTAAGGGGTCCTTAATGATAATACAGCTTTTTGGGAGCTATAGGAGAGATGTTGTGTGTGACCAGCGTGAACACAGCCATGAACACGATGAAAGACAAGCATCATAGTGTGGCGACAGTAACACACTTCTGTCAACTTGATTGAGTTGTGTGTCCACATGGGAAACACCAACATTTATTTCCAGGCCTGCACTCGACTGACACCCCCCAGGCAGATAACTTCTGATCTCTGAGGTCACGTCGCTAATCCTTCATTTAACGGCAACAAAGTCGGGGTTACGCTCCCCCTGTCTTTCAAACTGGCTACACAAATGGATTCTTAAATGTTTCTGGGCAGGCGATTTGGAAAATTGATCAGTATCAGCTCCTGAAGTTGCCAGTTAAAGTAAAGCGCTGCCTCCGGTCCGGTGTGTGATTTATTTGGAATGCTGTCACTGATATTCATGCTCGATAATCACTAATCGTCTCCTGGATAAGCGAACGTACTGCACGTGTGAACTCGTTTACAATCCGAGACTTATTCATGACGTCCAACAGTGACGCAAGATTCTGAGAGCTCCAATAGGATCGGACTTTGTTAATTTCGGATAATATTTCATCGCTCGTTTGATTCTTTACAAATCTCTGCTTGCCAGGACTGTGCTCGGTCCTGCTAGAACAGGACACCAAGTCCTGAACCGGTCATGAGCGGAAAGTGCAAAACATTCTCCTGGTGTCTAAACCATCCTCTCTTTCATGCGCCGCGCAACTTCTCCAAAGTGACCCTTATGTGTCGGCTGTAGCCTGCAATACTTGTCTTCAGAGGAGCGGTTATGTAACTGTTTAGGTTAACAGCCCCGGTACTTTGTGGAGCAGAAATGCTTCATATCACCCAGCTTCAGCGACGCTTTCATCTCAGCCCTCGTGCACCCCATCCCGGCTTCCCCTGGGCTCGCAGTCGAGGGCTTTTATTTCTTCTCTTATCAGAGGAAGAATGTGTTGTCTTTCACACACACCCCTCAGCGCCCTCCGTCATTTAGTCTGATGGCTGTCGCACCATTGAGGGCCGTTTGAAAGGAGGAAATGCGGCTCCTCTGCAAGTAACGTGTCTCTCAAGGGTGCAGTTTGACGTCTTTAGTCGTTTTCTTTGAGCAGAGGTTTTCAAACCGCGAGGTGAAAGGGACAGGTGTTTGAAAAGCAACGGGAAGGTAGTTACTGCAGTTTGGCCTGGATAAACACAGTCCGCAGAAGCAACAGCAGCAGTGGCTGTAGCACACTGGTGTTTTATGCACATTTTAAAGTATCGCATTGGAAACCCTTAATGGAAGCAGGAAAATTTGAAAACACTTCCCAATATTGCAAAAAGAAAGATTTATTTGTGCTCGAGGTGGTTTTTAACTTTCTTAGAAAAGAGTCATAATCAGAGACACCTTTCTTGGAATAAGTTTTCAAGTAGCAAACATTTAACTCAGATATTTCTCCATTTTTTCTTGTATTTACCTCCGGTCTGCATGAATCATGTCCAGTACCAGCTGACATTAAAGAATAATTAGAACCATCCCAACTGAAAAATAATTCACCTCCATTTTTCTCATTTCTGTGGCCAAAATTTTGTTTCTACTGCAAGTTTTTCCAGCAGTTGGTAAACAGCTGGTACAACAACACAACCCATACTGCCACCGACTGTGCAGCTTAGTTTATTCGCTGCAAAGGAGTTGATGGAAATGAGGCTGATTCGCTTTTTTTCTTTTGTTGTTTGCAACCTTTCAAAAGTTAACTTCACTTTGCTTGCCAGTTATATAAAAACACAACTGTTGAGGCACTTAAGTTGCTTTAAAATGCTCATTTCTGCAGCTGGTGTCAGAGTTCATCCTCCTCACAGTCAAATCTGATCACAGATATAATGAGAATGATTTTGGATTTAGTGTGATTTGCACTTCCCATTGGTAGCTTCGATGTCCATCGTCAGTTCACATTGCAGTTGTTTCAGTTTTGTTTGAAGACGGCCTCAAGAGTTTAGCCTTTGAAAATCCCAGTCTGAGAGGAATCCACACATGTTGTTAAGGATCTATTACTCAAGAGATAGTGGCCAACACTGCACGGTGTTGTACTGAATGTCCTCACAGTGTTCTTTCTTTAGAGGAGCTGAATGTTCTCTTCATTACCCCGTCCTGCACATATCTCCATGCTGCAGCCACATCTTATGATCTTGATATTGCTCAAGAGTCACGTAACATCTCTCGTAGTATCGCCAGCACAGACACCTCCTCTACCCTCTCATCTTCCTCCCTTTGACTCCCGCCTCCTACTGCACCACGCTGGGGGTTGTTTTTATTGGTCTGTATTCCTGGTTGAGCGCGTGTCGGCGCCTCGTCCCAGCAGTGTTACAGGCCTCGAGAAGCAGTAACCCGATAGTTTTGAACAACTTCCCAGAGATAATGGAAGCCAGAGAAGTTGAGCATTAGGCACAAAAAGAGAAAAGGGGGTGATGAAGTTGTTTTGTTCCTGGCAGCTCTTTTACCTCCCTCTCTGAAGCCGAGGAGCTAGACAGGGGTGCACGCATTAGCCCGGCGTTACTGTAAAGCTGCGGGTGCAGAGGGGTTGTAAAGTTTGAGGCGAGCATCTATGTGCACTCTCATTCCCACTTAAGAGCCAAAGCTCTTTCCTCCACGTGAAGCATTAGATGCAAAGTTTGACATTTACATGCACTGTGAAGGGTTTATTGGTGAAAGTGCCATTGTTTGGGATAATAGCAGGACGGCCATCTGGAGAATTAGCGGTGAAGCTTGCGGACCGGTGGCTCTGAGCCAGTCCAGAAAGTGCAGGCCTCGAGTTCTGATCTAATCTCTCAAGCACTGCATCAAACAGCATGCCAACATCAGGCTGCCATGAGAATGAAATCCAGCCTGATGAGTGTATTTAGAAATATGTACACTATGTGTAAACAGTGAAGAGAATTTTACCAGAAAAACAGAAGAAACATTGGTGGGCAAAGGGGGAAATTTTAAAAAGAAAATTCAAAACTGATTACGGATTCTTTTTCTCACAGTCATGAGAGGAAAACTATTTGTTTCTTCTCTGTAGCTTCTGTTGCATGGAAGCATGTTATTAACACTAATGGGAACAAAATTAGCTTTTTCTTTCTTTTGTTTTTTATGTAAATCATAC